AAAGAAAACCGCCGAAAGGGGCAGAAAGCTCTAAAGGAACGTGACGAAAATCGGTTCCATAAGCAGGGAGCCAAGTCATCGATCAACAGCCTGGTAGACGACGGTAGCGTTACCGATTGTTGCCCCGTGGAGCCACTGTTACACAAGGCCACTGTTCGTCTCAATTGTTATCAGGGACCTGAGTTCCTTTCCTTCCCCCCCTCCTTCATTCCTCGCGAGCGCTCTCAGGAAGGGCTCTCCGCATTGCATTAAAGGCTGGCCAAGATGCAGATATCAAAATCATAACATATCCCGCTAAGGACGTGGCTTTTGCATCACTCAGCCAGACACGTTCCCTAATTCGGTTCGTATTGCATTACAACCATAGGCCGCCATCTCTGAACCAACACAACCGCTTCCTTACTGCTGTACTGCTCATTCGTCCTTTGCGAAGTCCAGGTGACTCAGGCATTGGCACGGTTCACGACAGGTTGACAGTCTCACGATCCGGGGGGTGTGTTCTTGTAGGTACCCGCGATGGCCTACGCCGCTACCTCGTCGGCTTCGACCGTCAATGGCGATGCCCGCTCTAGCTTAAAACTCACTACTTCATCATCCAACCCCCCAAAGCTACATCATGTCATCACATCTATTCCTCCTGTCTCCAATCCTTCGTCAGCACCATCGTACGCTTCTTCCCTTACTACCACTCCCAATTCTTTACGCCCCGCCTATTTTCCTTCAAATGCTTCAAGCCCTTCAGGCACGCCTTTACAGATTGCTACCGACGGTCTTCGAGGACGTATACCTCCCTTCCCTGCTGTCCCTCCTACTACGTTCGAGCTCGGAGAGTCCGTGATGGCCGTCCCGGGAAATGCTCCTGCCTCTGGATCGGGGGACGCAGTCATCTCGAATTCCAAAGGTCCGGGCTTGATGCGCAGGATTTCCCGTGGTGCCGCAAACAAGCTTACACGAAGACGCCAATCTGCTTCCCACAATGAAAAGCGCGACCGCAGCTCTGGCCCCGTGACTATGCGGAGACGCAGTGACAGCAAGACCGGATCTCAGAACGGCCGCGATAACGCACTCGAATCTAGTAACGAAGAAGACAGCAATGATGCTCTTGATTCCCTTGGTGTTTGGTGCGGATCAGAGTCATCCAGCTTACCAAATGACAGTTTCATGGCAGCCTCCCGCCACAGCGGCACAATTGCGCCGAAGATTGATTCAGCGATTCAGCGTGGGACTGTCTTGACAAAAGTAACAAAAAAGCGAAGAAAGCAAGTCCGTTTCTTCCTTGACCTAGATGCGGGCAAGGTCTACTGGGACGTCTCGAATCCGACTAAGCGCTTCTACATTGACGATATCAAGGAAATTCGAGTTGGCGTGGACGCACGGAATTACCGGGAGGAGCACCAGGTTCCACAAGACACCGAAAGTCGCTGGTTCACAATTGTTATTGCCGATGACGAGCGGTCAAAAGGTCGCGCTGTCAAAACGCTACACCTTATTGCTCCCAATGATTACATCCTGGAGCTTTGGACTACGACTCTAGAACATATCTCCCGATATAGGATAGGCCTCATGGCTGGCCTGGCTGGTTCCGGTCAGAGTGAGGCAGTCCTGAAGGCGCATTGGCAGCGTGAGATGGCGAGATTGTTCCCTCACGGGCCCAGGTCGGCTGAGCAGGGGAGTCTTGATTTTGGCGCCGTGGAGAGCATTTGTCGCAGTTTACATATCAATTGCTCTAAGAACATGCTTCGCGCTCAATTCTCCAAAGCTGATTCTGATGTCAACGGCAAGTTGAACTTTTCACAATTCCAGAATTTTGTTGCTCGCTTGAAAGAGCGAAAAGACGTCAAGGAGATCTTCAAGGATAGCGCCACGGATGCCAAAGCCGGCCTAAGCGTTGATGAATTTTTGACATTCCTCCGAAACATCCAAAATGAGGACGTTGACTCAGATCGAAGTTATTGGGTCTCGGTTTTCGACAAATGTGTACGCAAGTCTAAATCGCGGGTCCCAAGCATCCCAGAGTTTGAGGAAGAGCAAGTCCCTCGAATGAATCTCGATGTATTTTCCTCTTTCCTTGCGTCTCCATGGAACGGATTATACGCCTCCCGTGCTCCCCAGTCGCGATTTGACCGCCCCTTGAACGAATACTTCATCTCGAGTTCCCACAATACGTATCTTTTAGGCCGCCAGGTCGCGGGAGCGTCCAGCACAGAGGCATACATAAGTGCTTTGCAAAAAGGCTGCCGTTGTGTAGAGATCGACTGCTGGGATGGGGCTGATGGCCGACCGATTGTGTCCCATGGAAGAACTATGACCACGAGCGTTCTGTTTGCCGACTGCATTACCGTCATAAATCGCTACGCATTCATCACTACCGATTTCCCTCTCATCCTGTCTCTCGAGGTACATTGTAACCCGGAACAGCAACTGGCAATGGTCAAAATCATGAAGGATACCTTCAAAGATCAGCTCGTCCTGGAGCCACTGTTAACAAACAGTTTTGTCCTTCCCTCGCCTGAAGAGATGAAGGGGCGCATTCTTGTCAAGGTAAAAACCTGTGACGAGCTCCAAGAGGGTGTACGACAGGAGTCCGTCGGCACATTCGCCGTCCACGGCCGTAAACGCAGCGCAAGCTCTCCCTTCATACGCCCGACGGCATCAGAAAGCCCAGCACTCACCAGTCTACCCCCTCTGTCGAGTCCTCCGACGCTGGGACTGGAAACCGTTGGCTCATTTTTAACCCAAGATAGACGCTCTTTCACAACCACCAGCATCAGCAGTGCCACGGAGGAAAGTGACGGCGCATTGGCGACCATCAGGAAAGAAAAGAAAAGGCGTCAGAAGAGCAAGATCACCAAACCCCTCTCGGATCTAGGCGTCTACACCCGAGGGTACAAATGGCACAGTTTCTCATCCACTGAAAGTCAACAGTATAATCATGTCTACTCCTTCGCCGAAAGATCATTCGAGGGTATCTGCCGTGATGCTGAAAACAAGGTTCTCTTCGAAAAGCACAACCGAAAATATCTGACTCGGGTCTATCCATCCGGCTTTCGTTTGAGATCTTCGAACTTCGACCCCCTAAAATTTTGGCGACGCGGCGTTCAGATGGCGGCCTTGAACTGGCAAACATATGACATTGGCATGCAGATGAACCAGGCTATGTTTGCGGCTGGGAGCGATCGAACGGGTTACGTGCTAAAACCCGAGTCTCTTCGCGCCTTGAGCCCAGCTGATGAAGAGAAAACCAAGACTACAGAGTGGAAGCTTGTTCGATTCTCGGTGGACGTTATCTCTGCCCAACAACTTCCTCGCCCTCGCAGCATTGGCCCCGATGATAACATCAACCCTTACGTGGAGATCGAAATGTTTAGCGCAGACGATCGTGGTCAGAGCTTCGTTTATGGTGAGGGTGGTATGAACGCATCCGCCCGCAATGGCATGTCGGGCATCGGATTTCCGCACCGTCGGCGCACGAAGATCGAGCAGAGCAATGGATATAGCCCAATCTTCAATGATCGCTTCAGGTTGTCGTTGGAGACTAAGTATCCTGATTTGGTATTCGTTCGCTGGACTATCTGGAGCTCGCAGGATGGGCGCAGTGCAGGAAGTAATAGCAGTGTCCAACTTGCCACGTTCACTGCGAAACTTAGCAGCTTATCCCAAGGATATCGCTACTTGCCCCTGTATGATGGCGGCGGAGACCAATATCTGTTCTCGACCTTATTCTGCAAGATCACCAAAGAAGATCCGGTGTCTGTTCAGCGGCTTGATGCAGAAGAACTGAGAGCTGAGCGGATGGGTATTCTTCGACAGATCGGCCAGACCGTCTTCAAGCGCACGTCGTCTACAGAGCGCGAGAAGGGTAATGACATGGCAACGAGCGCAGAAGATAAGGACAGTTCTCCAGATCTGACACCAACGGTTTCTGCAGCGTCCACTTCATCGTTACCTCCTTGAAGCCTCGCAAGGAGCGTTTTCAGCTGTGGCGTGCTACCAGGACGCCAGTTCCACTTTTCTTTTACCGTTTCTTTTCCCACGCGACTCTTCATCTATGGTTTCGTCAATCTCAATAACATGTGCAAATAAACGGAGCGGCGTTCTTCAAACTTTCATTGCATCTATTGTGTCCTTTTCCGGACTTTTCCTTCGGCTCTTACTTTCGGGGATTTTGGCGCAGTACGGTTGCTGAGGTCACTGGAGGGCCTAAAGGAGAAACCGTCATCTTCGTGTTTGTCTCTACTCTGTGTTATTAAAGGATGATATATGGCTGCATTGCGAGTGAGGTACGGGCGCTCCTTGATATATTCTTCCTTTGTCTTTTTCTTCAGTTCCATTTGCGATTGGATTACGTTTGTTCTATCTAGCGATACCCTCTGCGTGTGCTCTTCCGTTGTGTGTTGCATGGCTGTGCACTTATTTTACTTCTCATGATGTCTTTTCTTCTTCTTTTGTTTGCAGCGAATCTTGCCCATCATAGTTCTTCATTTATTTGTCTTCAGGGGTTGGGGTTAGGGTAGCATTTCACACGTTATCATCATCGGATAGGATGGCAGCATTCAAGGAGTCCGCAGGGAATGGTTGCATCATTGGTCACAATTGGCGGGGGAATTACATGTATGAGAGCGTGGATTGAAGTCAACGCTTTTGATGGAGCGATCGCTCAATCCTGTTCCATTGATCTGAGGGTTCTAGATGAATCTCCGACATGAGGCGAGGCCATGTCTATTTTTACGTTTCATATTCTTGTTTTAATATTAAACGTGCGCTGGAACGCTCATTTGATTCCAGGCCTATGTGCAGGTATTACATTTCTCAGTCGCTTTCTTTCCCCTTGTAAGGTAGGCCTTCTTATTGTCCGAAGGGGTAGATATTTATCATCTTGTTAGGCATTTACTCCCGTAGTATGTACTAGTAGGGCGAAATGCTGGGCTGCGGTAAATGATAAGTTGATTGACTGATACCGTCACCGCCCTAGGAAAGGCAACGTGACGACTTTCCGGCCTCCGCCTTCCGTTCCATCAACCATACGCTGTATACGACACACAGTAAATAAATACAATTGGCAATTCTTTTTGCAATTATACTACGCCATGGATCCATTCTCGGCAGAAGGTGGTAAGTGTTCGCGGTTGTACACCCAAAAAATGAGTAAAGTGCCTTCCAACTCATACTCCTCTCCCCACAGAACTTATCAACGTTCACAATGCCTTTCACCAAGGCCAGTACCAGGAGGTGGTCGACTTCGACACATCAGCCCTATCCTCTGAAAACCACCTTCCTGCTCGCGTTCTACAGCTTCGCGCCAGAATTGCCTTGGGACAGACCAACCAAGTTCTCGCCGACGTTGACGGCGAAGAAGACACCCCCGACCTTGCGGCAGCGAAGGCATTGGCGCAGCAAACAGCCGGCGACAGCGAGTCTGCCCTGAAGCTCGCACAGGATCTGGCGGAGAACTACCCCGATAATGGTACCGTACAGGTCCTAGGTGGAACAGTGCTGCAGGCGCAGGGATTGAGCGAGGAGGCTCTGGCTTTGTTGGCGAAGCACCAAGGCAATCTGGAAGCGTATGTTTTGAAGTCGCTTTGGTCTCTGGTTGGAGGACAATGCTAATTTCATGGCTTTTTTTTTTTGGGATATGTATAGTGTTGCATTGATCGTTCAGATCCATCTTCAGCAGAATCGCTCCGATCTCGCCCTGAAGGAGGTGCAGACTGCCAAGCGATGGGCTCAGGATTCCCTGCTTGTTAATTTGGCCGAGTCGTGGGTTGGTTTGAGAGTTGTATGTATTCACGTTACTTTGGTATTGCTTCTTTCAAGAGATGGCTAGCTAACGGGTTGGTTTTATCTATCTCTAGGGCGGCGAAAAGTACCAGTCTGCTTTCTACGTCTATGAAGAACTCGCCGCTGGCCCCAGTACATCTGCCCCGCTCTCCATTGTTGGCCAGGCCGTGGCTGAAATCCACCTCGGCCGGTTGCCAGAAGCTGAAGCTGCGTTGACGGCAGCTCTTGAGAAGTATCCCGAGGACGCGGAGCTCATTGCCAACAGCATTGTGCTGAATGTGTTGGCCGGCAAGCCGACTGAGGAGCTGGAGTCGTACGTATAACATTGCTCTTTGGGCTTTTGCCGCGATGTCTTGAATCTTGCTAACGGATATATCTTTGGTCACAGACGTCTACAGAACGCGCAGTCGTCGCATGCTCTGTTGGTTGATATTCAAAAGAAGAGTGCGTTCTTCGATACCGCTGCCGCGAAGTATGCGCCGAGAGTGTCCTCTTAGATCCCCCTTTACCTCTCCCCACCCTATTTTTCTCTCTCCCATACTCGATTTTCACTTTTCTTCTTCATGCGCCTTGTTCGATCCGGTGTTTTGTTACTTTGATGATTTATACGACGGCGTAGCTATTTTATTGTGCCAGGTATTATCGGCGATTGCCTTTATTCCATTTGCTATCGTCCCAGTTGTGGAAATCTGATTTCATGATAGACATTAATACTCAAACATGTTTGGTGTAGTGCATGCGCTCTGAGTGTTCCCCTCCCGCTTCTGACCCGCAGATCTACGAGGCTAGATATTCAAATGTATATAGATACCAGGATGATGGCTGCTCAGCTAACGCCCTAGAGACGAGACCGCAACCACTCCTTCAATCCGTTCCCCTGCTGGGTCTCCTTTCCAATAAAACCAGCGCTGTAAACCGGTGCAACATGAGTTTCCCCATGCCCTACCAGATATGTCGTGTTCGGTACAACCGACTAAACCGAATCCCGACCCCGTTAGCAATCAAGATCCCCTAGCCTCACGAACCGAGAAAATACCACCCGGGGAAACAAAGGAAAGAAAGAATATTTACCTGAAACTTCTTCACAAAGGCATCAATCGGATCGAACAAGATCTCATCCTTCCCTGCCAAAATCAAGACCTCCTTCACCTTCGCATTCCTCCACCATTCAATCGGTGCCCGATTAGGCTCACTCCACGCATCGCCCTCCCTCCCATCCGCGCCCAAATACATGCGCGACCACCGATCCAAAATCTCCCGCCCAATCATATCCTTATACTGATTATCCTGCATGGAGGTGCCCTCATGGACGAAACTCACCCACGGCGCGAAGGCAAACAACCCCGCCAAGGGTGCTACGTCGCACAGAGGCTCGATCTCTGGATGCGGGTGTGACAGATGCAGGAGGACGGCTAGGGCTAGGTTTCCACCTGCGGAGTCGCCGGCGATGACCACGTTGGCTGGGTCACGGTTTGTCTCGGTGAGGATGTAGCGGAGGGCTTCCACAGCCTGCCGGAGCTGAGTTGGGTAGACGGCGTGCGGGGTGAGGCTGTAGGTTATTATGAAGAAGGCTACGTCGTGGCCTTCTGCGTTGAAGGTGTTGACCAAGTCGCCGTAGAAGGAGATATGGCCCGCTGCGCAGGGCACGGCGAATCCGCCGCCTGTTTGGGTGCATTAGTAGTGTACTACTACTTCACATTCATATACCGATTTCTTCTGGGGGTCGCATAGCATAGCTTAGACATGCTGTTGTGTTACAAAGGTACGAAAGAGTAAATGTAATATACCATGGTAATAAATGACCACATTTTTGGCATTCTTGTTTCCGATCCAGTGGCCTTGTGCACCGTGGTTGAGAGGGACTGTCTCGGGCTGGAGTCCCTTTTTCTGCAGGCCTGTCTCGTAGACGGACCTTGTGGGGCCATTCATGTATCTTTTTTTTTTTATTTAACTTGTTAGTCCCGATCGAGGTATGCCTTTCCAGGGTAGGGGATTATGTACTGGAACTGTTCTGCGCTCAGTCTATTACACAATTTTCTCAACGCTGCGTTGCCGACGTGGAGCCCATATCCTGATGCGCCGCTTTTGCCTCGGAAGATACCTGTGACGGCGCTATAAAGAGCTGTGCCCAAAACGGTTAATTGAGCATGCATGAGGTCTACTCTCTCCCAGAGGGAGATTGAGGTGGAGGTCATTGTGGTAGGAGGGGTGTGGAGCTTGATATGTGAGGGGGGGTGTTAAGGGAAAGCGAAAAGAATTGAAATGGTTGTGCAGAAGGAAGGGGAATCGAGAGGTGAGTGAAATGCCGGAGCTGAAAGATTAAGCTATGGATGGATGGATGGCCTGAATTCCCCGCAGCTGGAAGTAGATCTTGAAAAGGGTATGTGATGTTAACCAGCTTACCTCGGCTGTTGCGGGCCGAGTGAGCTACAAGGCAAGATGATAAGAGATTCAAGGGAAAGTATTACAAGTCATATTGCTGTAATTATTTTTACATTCATTCGTTGCTGTTAAGTAAATAGTTTAGTGGCCGTTCACCATGTCTTCCTTACCGGTCAGATCACAGAATGCCTTGAAGGTCGTAAACACCTTTTCCTCATCACTTCCAGAACCAGTGCTCTCAATGATACACTCGGCATCGGCACCGACAAAGAAGACATAGCCCTCCTTCACTGCCTCTGTCTTATGGCCGACGGTGATCTTTCCGGTGCCTCCGGTGCAAATTAGGATGCTAGGTCCTCCCAGCGCGTCGAAAGTAGCCTTGGCGCCAGCTCGCTTGAGATCGGTCTTTACCACACTAAATTCCTCAATTGGGGGGTCATAGAGCATGGATGAGGAGGCGCTTGAGTATGCGGACGCATTCAAAATTACGTACGGGTATTCCTTGGGTTCTAGCTTCTGTTCCTCAATTGGAGCATAGGAGTATGTCAGCATGTCGGTCAGCGTATCCACATCCTTGAACTTGGGTGTGAAGCCAGCTCGCACGACGTTGTCGGAAGACGCCATGCACTCGATGATGTCGCCGGACACGTAGGCATGAATGTCGTCCGCCTTCAAAAACATGGCCTCTCCCGGCGCAAGCTTGACGAAGTTGAGGAAGAAGAACACAAACAAACCGATATCGTTAGGGAACTGCCCGTTGAGACGTGTGATGACAGCAGCCAATTCCGCTGGGTTACTGGGATTTGTCTCGGGGGTGCTAGCAGAGGTGCCAAATGTTTCCGGGGAGTTTTGGGCCGCAGCAGTGAGCTCCTTTGTGGCTGCCTCGATGTTCTCGGACGATGAGTTCATCAGCGCCGTGAACACGGTCCTCAATGCATCCTTGTTTTTCTGCATGACAGTGGGATCCTCCGAACCCTCGGAGCCCTTGACTGCGCCCAGGAATTGGTCGACTGTATCTGTTCCAATCAACTGACGGAGGGGCGCCACGGCATTGAGAAAATGGGAGATCTCCGCTAAGGGGCGGAAACCGCAAAGTCCTTCGAACGGGGTGATTGCGATGGTCATCTCGGGCTTGTGGTTGTCATCTGCCAAGACCACGTTAGTAAACCCGGAGTATAATTAGCCATCTTTATGCGTGGGCTCCATAATGTACCTGGGTAATTGCGAGGATCTTTGGCATGGAGCTTCTCTGCAAGCTTCTTGTTCGGGTGCGCTTGAATACTGAGGGCTTTGTTGACAGAAAGCACCTTGAAGAGGAATGGCAGTTTTCCACCATATTTTTCGCTAACCTCCTTGGATAGCAAAGCTTGGTTGTCCTGGACCATATCGAGGAGGGTTCGCTGAGTCTCGACGTCTTTCGAAGGGAGAGAAGGATGCGTGCCCATCCATAACTATTGATGGAAGTTAGCGATTGCTTGTGATCGGTAAGTAGTCTAGAATTGACCTCTGCATAGGGTTTCTCTGATTCTATAGCGAAGTCTGGCGCAGCCGTTGTAGCTGCATAGCGGGCAGCTGCCGACTCCTGACCAATCTTGCCTAAGACAATACTCAGCAACTTATAGATTCGGGATGTTCGTAGGGTTCTATGTACCCCAATCATAACTGTTGACACCTGTACGTGTGCGCTGTGATTAGTATTCATGAAAAGGAGGGTATAGACAGGCCAAATTCCAAAGAAATCATACCACATTGGAGTCGAAGCAAAGGCACCTGCATTTTGTAGAGCGTGACGTAACAGGAAGGATTGAGTGAATGCCAGAGGGTCAAGAAGTAAACACAGGAGATGAGATTAGGCAAGAGCACCCCAAAGGGTCTGATGATTCACTCAAAGGTGTTTGAAAGAGAAAGAAGAAGAAGGGGAAAAAAATTGAGTCTTTTCTCTTGTTTTAAAACTTTCTCCTTCCCTCTCCAAGTCCCGTCTTTCCAAGAAGTCAACCCACTTTCCCTTCCAGTTCTGCCCCTCCATCCATAATACTAATTACTATACCCAATTAGGATGACCGGAAGCGTTCCCGTGACTAAAATGGGGAGCACCAATGACGGCGTGCATTGGCCAGCAAAGCGCTTACCGCTTAACCGCGATGGGAACTCCGCCAGCGATAGCCGCCAGGTCGGGGAACCATTATCGTCTCCGCGCCAGCTTGAGCCAGGCGAGCACCCTACTGAAAAGACTCCAAGCTCGCCTCTGAGCTCCTTTAGTCGCCCGCACGATCTCCGCCACGGTGCGGCTCGTGGCACGCGAAGTGCGCGTCGCAAAGAGATTGTCTCCGCTTTTTCCTGGGAGGCCTTGACCATTGAGAAAGCTAGAACCGGGGAGCTTGCAACCTCATCCGGAAACAGTAAAGGTCCGCAACAGCGCCCAGTTGCTGTTGCACCTCCCAGTACAGCACCATCCAAGATGTCACGGAATCGTCCTAGGGGCCCTCCGCTGCCTAGAGACAATGGTCTCGCGGCCAATGAGGAAACTGATATGTGGAACAAGATCCTCCAGGATCTACGAAAGGCAAAGGAGAAGAACGATAAGCAGAAGTCATTAGCCGAGCAGATATCTGCGTTGAATGAGAAGGTTGGCAAAGATGGTGGGAGTAAGTATCTCTCCTCTTATCTCTGTTTTTGTTTCCTCTACATCGACTGCCTCGGGAAAAGAGTATATCTGGGTCTCCGCTATCATGACCCGGGCCCCTTGGTGCGCAGGTGATGCCAGGCTATCAAGGATCATGGCAGCATCAACCATCTCAACTCATTACGCTGTTTACCAGTTTATTGCGCTGTGGGCTTGCTAGATCATATTCAGTAGCTATCACATGCTAATTGTCGTCCACAGAGCCGAGTCTACATGAGCATAACCAGCTGGATAGTCTATATCGGCAAATGCTCAAGCTTTGTGAAGATGAGAGAGCCATTCTTCAAGATGAACCGAGTGATGTGATCAAGAACTTGGGCCTTCTGACCGCACTTCGTCAGGCATCTGAAGCAGAGGCGCCACTTAACCGTGCGGCTGCTCTTGGGAAATCTCGTAAAAAGAGAAATGACGTGGACGGGTCAGCTACTGACTCGCCGGGGCCTTCGGGTGCCTCTTTACCGGACAAAGCTGGTCGTATTAAGGGGGGCATCCAACGTGGCTCCAGCGTGTCCAGCAACCAGGCTCGTGACAGCCGTGACAGTCGAGATGTTCACGTTAAAGTGGAGGAAGGCACGGAAGGCACCAAGGGTACACTTGCCGAGCGCAATGGACACTTGGTGGTTGGAGCCGAAGTAGTCTTCAAACACAACAAGAACAAGCAAGGGGTCGAAGGTGAGGGGATCCAGTGCATCATCAAAGGGATTTCTGGAGATGGACATAAGAAGCGGTATGGCATGACGACCCCGGGCGTCCTTACCTCTGAACTGACCGATACCCCTTTTAAGGTATGATGTACAGGATCCTGAGCCGAATGAAAATGGTGAGCAGGGAGCGGTTTACAAAACCACCGCTGCGTCTTTGATCCCAATCCCGCAAGTTGGCTCGACATTACCAAGTTTTTCAGTAGGAAAACAAGTTCTGGCGAGATACCCGGATACTACGACTTTTTACCGGGCAGAGGTGATGGGGTCCAGAAAAGACACCTACCGTCTCAAGTTTGAAGGCGAAGAAGATGACAAGGAGATGGAAGTGGACCGTAGGTTTGTCCTTGACATTCCCGGAAAGTAAAGGAAGCAGAGAAATGCGAAAGGCTACATAAAAAAAAAAAAAAAAAGACGGCGACGAAGAAGAGCGAACACGACAACAAATACTGCATATTGGAATCCTGAGTATTTGGTGATTATGATGATACCCTTTGAACTAAATTGATACAATTTCAAGGAAAGAGTCTGGAATGGAATAGAAGCGTCCTCACTATTGACAGTTGAGTTGGCCAACTTTGAATAGTATAGTACTACCAAGGAATAGATAGTCTTGACCAAATTGACTAATTTGCTAACTTGCTAACTTGCTAAGCTCAAGCATTCCATGCATCGATTCCCTTACAATGGCCAGCAAAAAGCTTGATCCATCAAAGGTCGGCAACGCCAAGTAGATCATAATTCAGATTCTATTGCGAAATAAGTCCGATGGGGGTATCATGTTCCAATAGGACGCCGATCTTAAGGCCGGATTTCTAAATTTCAATGTAAAATCACCCAGAGATGACAATCTGTTAGGTAATAAGTGTATACGGTGTACGGTGTAGATGGAAGCGAATAGAGCATTCTACCGTATAAAGTTCGGTCTATTTTCTAACCGCGATAAGAATGGGATTTCTGCGATAAAGTGCGATCGTCAATTGAATTATCGGTGAGGTGTGGGATGGAAGGGTTCCGCAGTCATTGAAATCGGGGAACAATAGAATTAAGGGACAATTGGAAATTTTTTGGGAAAAGGAGACTTTTGGATAGAGAAACTTGAGACAAGGCAAAAATGGGGGATTTCCTGTCATCAGCTGGAGAGTGATTGATAGTTCAATCATATCATTGGAGGCGAGAGCCTGGACGGGCACCTGACTAATGTTACCCGTAAGGCCTGACTAATGGAAAACCTGAGTCAGCCACATGCTGCAGACCCCCGCCCCAATGCGCCGCCCAGTGCTGTGTCATTCCCGCGGATCCGAGGGAGATATATGCATGGGAATGTTATCATACTCCGTACAATTGTCCGATCTTCTGAGCATGCGTGTGTTCTAACCATTGACTAACCATTGACCGTGCTTTGTTATCTATTAATTCCGTCCCCATCATATGTATATGGTCGCTTAATCACCCTTCTTCTTAACCTGATTTCGCAATCGCATTACTCGTTTCTGCCATGTCGAACTTACCATCTCATGCCTCGCCGACATTCACGGCGCAGGCCTCTTCCTCTCATCAAGCTGTCGATGATATACCTCTGGACTCAACCTCCGTGGCTCCAACGTCATTGAACAGCAGAATAGGCGAGCTCCGTGGTGATGCCGCAAATCAAACTGACGCCACAGAGCACACCCGAGGCGATATTACCCCCGCAGTGCCCGCTTCTCTTCTCTCCCCTTCCTTCACACCTCCAGCGACACCAGGTGGCACGATAAACCAAGCGCAACTACTTCAGCAGACTCAACAACCCACACACATTAAACCCCCTAAGCTCCTCTCCTGCCTTCCAAATGTTGAGTGTATTGTTCGCGCACGGATCCCAACCACCAATGGAGCGGAGATGTTCCTTCACCTCTACCACAATGACTTAGACAACAAAGAGCATTTAGCAATTGTATTCGGAAACAATATTCGGTCCCGAAGTTTGGATGCAGTCCGTCCGGGGGAAACGGAAATGGACCGAATGATCCGTGGGGCATACATCGGTACCCTCCGTCCCGGCCGAGTGAGCAGTTGGTATGATAGTTCCACAAATACCGAGAGCGCTTCTAGTGGACAAGAGCGGAGCACCCCAGGTGCCCCTACTTCGTCACAGACACCAGAGTTAGCGCAGAGTAACACAAACCAAGCGCCGCTGGTTAGAATCCATTCGGAATGTTACACCGGCGAAACGGCATGGTCCGCACGCTGTGATTGTGGTGAACAGCTCGACGAGGCGGCACGCTTGATGTCTCTCCCGATGGAAACTTTGAATGAGGTGGCGTCCCAGCAAGATTTATCTGTACCTTCGAATGCATCTGGAGGCGTGATCATTTACCTCCGCCAGGAAGGCCGCGGGATCGGCCTAGGAGAAAAGCTTAAAGCGTATAATCTTCAAGACCTTGGATCGGATACCGTTGAAGCCAATTTACTCCTTCGACATCCCGCGGATGCCAGAAGCTATGGCCTTGCCACAGCGATGTTGGCAGATCTTGGTCTAGGTGTCGATTCCAACCCACATGGAATCCGCCTACTTACAAACAACCCTGACAAGATCCGAGCGGTCGAGGGACCGAACCGGGAAGTTGTTGTGAAGGAAAGAGTACCGATGGTGCCCTTGGCCTGGCGAACAGGCGGGAAGATGGGAATTACGAGTTCTGAAGTCGAGGGTTACTTGCGGACAAAGGTCGGTTTTCTCTCCAATGATTCCGATGTGAGGAATGCTAACGTGGCAAACAACACGACAGATCTCGAAGATGGGCCACATGCTCCAATAAATTATCCAATTCCAACATTTTCTTGCTTTTTATGTCTTACACGATTTTACCGATGAGTTTTACGTGGAGGTGCTGTCGCTTCGATGCTTTCCTGCTTTTTGCTGTATAAAAGGGCTCTTTGATGATTGCTTGTCTTATCTACGGTGCTGTATATCTCTCATATTTGGCTTTCTCTATACGATCATTTGCCTAGTATTACGTCGGACTACGTCTTGGGGCATCATGATATATTACTAGATTGGGCATTGTCTGTGATGCGTTACCGGGGTTAGGGGGTGACCGTTCGAGCTTTTGGCTTCAGGATTGGAATGCTAAGGACCCTGCCATATACAATTTAATACGTTTGGTATTGTAAAATAAAGGAGGCAAAATTGGCGGATTGTCATGTGAATGTTCCCACCCCTTGGTTTTATACATACATAACATACATAACCGCTCGTCTGTTTGTTGTTGTTGTTGTTTTCTCACTGAAGTTCTTTTATTGCCCCGATCGATCGGCAGCGCCACTGCCGGCACTCTTCAGCGGGAGAGATCAAATCAATTACGACAATTAATTTGTCTTGAGAATCCTCCCGGCATTTTTGAGGTGACATCGACAAGGGTTCTAACGATAGAGTTCAGCGGGACTCCACTTGTTCCAGACTCGTAGTCATGCCGAAACGTCGTCGGCTGAAAAAGTATCGTTCTTCTTCTCTCACACGGTCACACCACGATCATTTCATTTCGTTTTACGACATCGATGCTGAACCTTTTTGAGCTCTTGCTGACCCAGGTATTCTCCTGGAATCTCCCTCTCTAAATTTCCTGGCCGTCTTGAATGGCCGTTACGTTTCGATAACCACTTGAGAAGGAGGTCATGGCCAATCGCCTGCCTCCTCTGAATGATGTGGCCCCTTCCTCGGCCCTCGACTCTTCTTCCTCGGGAACCCGGGAGACTCCAGTCGCGACCGACCCGGTCAACTTAGACACGGATTATGTGAAACTGGAGGATTCTCCTACGCCATCCGCGTTGACGCCCGCAGATGCAGATGCAGAAACACCGGCGCCAGACAATGGCGGGCCGGCGGGGCGGAAACGCAAGTTGAATAGTAGTTCCGCAAGAGGCGTAGCCAATCTCACTCCCGAGCAGCTGGCGAAGAAACGAGCCAACGACCGACAGGCCCAACGGGCAATTCGCGAGAGAACCAAAGCTCATATCGATTCGCTGGAACACCGCGTCCGCGAGCTGTCTTCTCAGAAGCCATTTTTGGATCTTCAGGCGGCCCTGAAGCAAAATGAAGCAATTCAAGCCGAGAACCGCGATATCAAACAGGGGTTGAAGGCGATCATGGATGTCATTCAGCCTTTAGTTGGAAAACACGAAGCGTCTAGTGCTAGTAAGTCTGGCCATTGGTGCAGTAAAACTACCCACCATTTTCTCAGGGATCATTAGAGCTAAATAGGCGTCTCCAGATCCTCCCGCCTCTGCAGCTGCTCCCTCGGGCACGCATTCGGCCCCCCCTTTGTCTACAGCACCACCGTTTTCAAGAACCAGTTACTTTAGTGACACCAAGCCAAGCAATGTCGACCATTCCTATTCTGAAGCTTCCGCGAGGATTGAAACTCCCTCATCCACACACTCGGCGCCTTTGTTAGGCACCATCCGGCGCGAAAGCGCCACAAATGGGCCGTCAGCTTCATTTCGCATTGCGTTCGACTATCAGCGGCATAACCTAACGCATGGATTAGATTTTGGGAGCGATGAAAGGATGGCCTTTAACTTTCTACTTGATGCATCCCAACAAGTTCCGAAAGTGGAGGGCTTCCGCCGCTCGCCGGGGAACTTCCGAGCTGCCCCAATGAACGCTCCTCCAGCTTACCCATCGCCGATCCACGGCTCCATGGCGGAGCAATCTCTACCCGCCTATATGACGCCAATCCGAAACATTGCACCAACCTGCACGCTGGATGCCATCCTGTTGGACTTTCTCCACCATCGACAGCGCGAAGCAGCTTCAGGGGTCCCCCAGCAAAAGCTAGTGGGGCCTCCTTATCCCAGTGTCTCCTCCCTGCTCAATCCAGAAAGAGGCGCTTACTCACATCCGTTATCAAAGGTGTTCACTGATATTCTGCGCACCTTTCCGGATATTTCTTCCCTTCCGGAGCAAGTCGCTGTCTTATATGTCATGTTCCTTCTTATGCGATGGCAGATCTATCCAACGCCTGAAAATTATGATCGGGTACCGGAATGGCTGACTCCGCGCCCATCACAGCTTTTAACACCACACCCCGCCTGGATTGACTACCTGCCGTGGCCGCGGATGCGCGACCGCGTAGTGATGGCACACCAGGACTACCCATTTGACAATTGGTTTATACCCTTTACGCGTACACTTTCAGTCAATTGGCCATATGAGGAAACTGATTGTCTTTTGTCGACGGGGGATAACGATGACCTGATCATCAACCCCGTCTTCGAAAGGCATCTACGTAACCTCAACAATTGGAGTCTCGGCTCAGCATTTGCGGAAGCGTATCCGTCCTTAGCTGAGACAGCCAGAATTAAGAACCAGCCATGACCGTATCTTCACCACGGGTTAATCTTCGCTGGGCAGCCACCGTATAGACAGATAATCGGGTGGAATTTTGTTAAATATATGTTTGACCAATTGTGGTCTAAAAAGGCTCAGGCGGATGATACATATTTGAGAGCATCCTCTATACATTCTCTAGGCATCTCCTTGTCTTTCGTCCTTCGTTTGGTGTTGGGTTTCTTTTTTCGTGGTTTTCGTCTCTAACCCTTGACTCCTTTACCATGTTGCCATGTCACTCGGATACTTGCCCTACAACTGCCTGAAAAGCGGTAAAAGTTGTCCGAGTCATGCTGGCTATACAGTGTATGGAGAGATGGTAAACATACTGACATTCGGGATATAGCATCGTAGCAATAGAACTTCTGAACACGATCGCCTCAGCCGCTTGATGTTCTGAAAGATCGGGCTTAGGATTCTCTCGATTTGTCGGAAACACCGAACGTAGATCTAGAGCTGGTATCATAGACTAGAGACTGTTGTAGCAGCAGTTAGATTTCAAAAATATAGATAGTCAAATCCAAATGGAACTGTGTTTTATTTGATACCGCCTTGTCTGCTTGTCTGCCGTCCATTGTACATCGTAGTAATAAAAACCAGAGAACTATATTCTGCGTTTATTCACGCTCAACAATTAATCTATTGTCCAACTCATTAATGAATCCATCCCTCTTATGGCCAATTTCAACTTCACTCCTTCCGACTCTTTTCATTCCAGAAAGTCATTCCCGCCTTCTGACGCAGAACGCCATACATTGAGCTGCTGTCCAGACACTCACCAGCATACTCCCTCGCAGCAACCATGTTCTCATGCGCAACCTTCAGACCGGGAAGCTCAACATTATGCTCCTTAGCCATGGCAAATGCATGGTTCGCATCCTTAATAGCAAGAGACACACCAAATCCAGGCCGAGATTCCAGCGGCGGCGCATACGCACCAGTTGTCAATCTGTAACAGGTCAATGATGTACAAACATCAGCAGGGATTTCAAGGTACGCCACCTCTTCGAATATCCACCAGCCACAGCGCCAAAAGCTTCGCTGATGAGCTCTTCCATCGGACCAGTGCCTAATCCAGTACGCTCGGCGAAAACCTGAGCTTCTCCGACAGCTTCCATCATATTAACAGTGACGATATTACTGATATTCATCAGCATTGCTCCCTTAGCGCGTTAAATTAAAAAAGAAAAATAAAAAAAAAAATTTAAAATAATGGAGTAGAAGGTAGCTCATACCCAGCAATTTTCAAAAGCGAAGACTTAGTCGCATCCTCACCACAATCAATAACCTTGCGACCCATAACATCTTGAATCAACGGCTTGACCACCTCCGAGGCCTTCTTCGGCCCGGCAATGGCAAAGACGAGCTTTCCATCCACCGCGATCGGATTGCCACCGAACACAGGTGCCGCTAGGAAAGACGCTTGCTGTTCTCTCAGCTTAGAGACAGTTAGACCCACCGTTTCGGGGTGGACGGTCGAGCAGTCCACGAAGATCTTGTCGCGGAGAGAGTGCCCCGATCCAATGGCGGATGTGATTAGTTGTTGGAGGACTGAGTCATTGGAGACCTTTTTTTTTTTCGTGTTAGCTTTAGAGAATGTGAATGTTTTGGGTGGAAAGGGGGATTGTACGCACCATGGTGAAGATGATCCCGCATTGACCGACTAGTTTGGCGAAGCTGGTCTCTGGGGTAGCACCTAGGGTTTTGAGAGGGTCCCCGCGTGCCATTGTCCGGTTCGAGTAGATTAGATTCATGGCATTTTTGGTTGCTAAGTGTCTTTGGAGATTGGTGGCCATGGCTAGGCCCATGGAGCCTAGGCCATACTATTTTGTATAGGTCAATAATGTTGTTGTTGTTGTTGTTGTTGTTGGGCTGTTGGGTTGAACATACCCAACCGATACGAGTCATGTTTGACGATACAATTGACTCTAGAGTCGAGGATGTGTGTGGTCAAATACACCACTACAGGGGGTGAGTTGAAGTTGTAGAGACGGATATGAGAGGTTAGGAGCTACGAGTAGGGAGTAGATGCTGTTGTTCTTCTTAACGATAATCGATAACCGGGCGGTCCCGATACCGGGCGGACAACTGCGACAGGGTAGTTCTAATCATTTACCGTGTGACTGGTTTTCACTGACTGGTCATGATTATAGACATCCGTCGTATACTATGTTAAGCGTTCATACATGAAGTTTCAGCCTCCATCCTATCATTCGTTTGAGGATTGTGGCAAGGGGCTAGTGGTGGATGTTGACCCCCCAATGTGGCCCTCAGTACACAAACCAAGAAGAAAACATTTTGCTAAATCAGCCATGCGGAACAGATCATTATTCTCAGTCTATTTATCGTGATTGATAGTGGCTTGGTATGTCTCGGAACCAAAGGATGAGGAGTACGGAGTAACAGTGCCCAGATCTGAGATATCGGGCGTTCAGGCATCCAGGCATTCCACGAACGGGCAGCAGTGACGACTGACTTGACTTGCACCGCCAGTCCGTCAGCCACGCATTCCCAATAACGTTGCTCTTTCCCCTTCCCCTCATATCTCTATTACTCCCCCCAGGTTTCTCCCCACCCCTGGACTACATACCTATGATCGCATTTGTTTGTTACTCTGGAATTGTTTAAGCATTTATTATTGTGATTTGGATTCAACACCATGGCGGACATGCCCATTGGTAAGCTTCATCCTCCGCTCCTGACAGCTACTGCCTGGTGCTCCCGTCCCGTCAACTAACCCGTACATCCAGTGCTCGACGGAGGAACCGGTTTCCTCAAGGTCGGATATGCTGCGCAGGTATGCCTTCCACTTGCACGGTCTTTACAATATTGAAAGAGCTATCTGTTTACTTTGTTGTTATTTATTAGAACTTCCCCGAGCACCAGTTCCCCTCAATAGTGGGGCGGCCCATACTGCGAACTGAGGAACAGGCCGGCGACATTGTTGTGAAGGATATCATGTGCGGAGATGAAGCTGCCGCTGCTAGATCAATGCTTCAGATTAGCTATCCTGTACGTCTCGTCCCCGCGGCTCATTGTCACTTTCCGATTGTACGCCCCCAAGTTGCTGATCTGTGCCCAATGGATAGATGGAGAATGGAATAGTGAAGAACTGGGATGATATGCAACACCTATGGAATTTTACCTTTTATGAGAAGCTGGGCATCGATCCCACCGGTCGCAAAATCCTCCTTACCGAACCCCCTATGAACCCCTTAAAGAACCGCGAGAAGATGGCCGAGGTCATGCTGGAAGGCTATAACTTCGGTGGTGTATACGTCGCTATCCAAGCTGTGCTTGCACTATACGCCCAGGGTATGTGCTAGGTTTTTCCTTTACGTGGCAGCGCAAGCAGCTTATGTGGTCTACTAGGTCTTAGCAGCGGTGTGGTCGTCGACTCCGGTGATGGTGTTACGCATATTATCCCGGTATACGAATCTACCGTCCTTAACCACCATATCCGTCGATTGGATGTCGCGGGTCGTGATGTCACCCGTAACATGATCGCCCTCCTCCTTCGCCGCGGTTATGCCCTGAACCGTACCGCCGACTTCGAGACAGTGCGCCAGATTAAGGAGAAGCTTTGCTACGTTTCTTATGATTTAGAGTTGGACAAGAAGCTCTCGGAGGACACAACTGTTCTTGTCGAGTCCTACACTCTCCCCGACGGTCGTGTCATTCGTGTAGGAAGTGAGCGTTTTGAGGCCCCCGAGTGTCTCTTCCAGCCGCACCTTGTGGACGTGGATCAGCCCGGTATCGCCGAAATGCTCTTCAACACCATCCAGGGCGCCGATGTGGATGTTCGCTCTAGCTTGTACAAGGCTATCGTGCTCAGTGGAGGAAGCAGCATGTACCCTGGTCTGCCATCACGACTGGAGAAGGAGCTTAAGCAGTTGTGGCTCACACGTGTACTGCACGGAGACCCGGAGAGGCTGAACGTATGTTTAAAAACATGTTTTACAGGAGATATACGCTAACTCTAGTCCAGAAATTCAAGGTGCGGATTGAGGATCCGCCAAGACGGAGGCACATGGTCTTCCTGGGCGGTGCTGTCCTTGCCAATCTGGTAAGTGCCTGGACCCTATCCATGTTTATATACAATTTAAGTTCAGATCATCTAACTATCTCTCAGATCGCCGACAAGGAGGATATGTGGGTCACCAAGCAAGAATGGCAAGAGCAGGGTGCTCGTGCCTTGGACAAGCTTGGACCCAGATAAACGTAAAACCGTTGTTCACCTCTTTCCCCCTTGTTTCCTAATCTATTCAAACACCTTCCTTACTGCCCATGTACAGCATCCTCTTATCTCTGGGAGATCGCCCTTGATGTTCATGTCATATAGGGATCTAAGGACAGCGTGCACTGCGCCCTACATTTCCTGTTCTTGTACCTAGTATAGAGAAACCAAACGAACTTGATCGAGTCTGCCGAGCCTTTGCATTGACGTCCTCGCACCTAATCGTCGAATGTATACTAGTAGAAGTAGTATGTATATTGCATGGTTTGCACCCCCCGTGAGGGAGAGAAGTTTCAAAACTCCCCTACTCCTATACCCCGAACACAGCACTTTATCCCAGTAAAAACAAGAAAGGAAACAAAAGTACAAGACAAAGAATGGAAGTAAAAATGTACATTGACAAAGCAAAAAGATAGGGGAAACCTCGAACACTCTAATCAACACCGCCATGTAACAAATAAAGGAAAAGACAGTAACCAATTCTATAATATAACTCAGCCAACGAATGGTAATAAACATATAAAGAAGAAAGGAAGGTAAAGGCAAGGTATAGAAAGGAAGACTGGGGCTTTTCAAAAAGGAAGAAAATCCGAAACAACAGTCAACGAACAAAACATAACCGGATATATCCGGTTAACGAGACATGGACGAAATCTAGTCGTCGCTATCGGATTCGACTTGTTCGTTTTCGAGACACTTTTTCGTCTCCTCGTTCATTTCGCGGTAGGTACTCCAGCTTAGGAGGAAGAAGGCTGCGATGATAAGGACGCCGCCGATGATGGAGGATGTGGACAGGGGTTGGCCTGTTCGGAGCCAGTCGACGATGGCGACAAGGAAGATGGTGAGGAGAGAGGCGACGGAGGAGAGAACCGGGGAGGTCAGGGAGATGAGGACTAGGAAGGATCCCGAGAAGGCTGTTTAGATGGAGTAAATGCATGGTCAGTTTTTTCTTTTTCTGTTTTTGTATGTAATTGTTTCTTGGTATTCTCTTTGTGGTTTGGGTTGGTTTTGGATTTACTGGGGGGTTTACTAGGGTGGGGGATGGGTTTCATTATATATGGGGACTTACTGGCATTGGCACAGACGGAGATGAGGAGCATCCAGGCGGTTTCTCCCGTGGGCCAACGGAAGGTTTCCCAGCCTAGGATGTGGAGGACAGGTAGGGGGATCCAGAGCACGAATAGAGTAAAGCATCCGATCAGACTGCCGAAGGTGTTTGCGAAGATCATGCTGCGCCCGGGACTGGTGCCTTCCGGAGGGCAGGCGTACTTCTTATATAGTACCTCGTACAGACCGTAGAGTATACTACCGATACCGATGACAAGATTGCCCAAGAGCCTATTGTTTACTTGACCTTCTCCTTTACCCGGGGTGCCATCCGCATGCTTGTCTTCGTCTCTATCTCCATATGCCACCACGAGAACGCCCACAATGGCCACAATTACGGCAAATACCTTATCGAAGCGAAGTTTGTCTTTGAGGAGTGGGATGGAGAACGCATAGGCAAAGAAGGCGGAGCAATTGTAGATGGCGGTCAAGTCGCTCGCTGTCGTCATATTGACAGCCAGGTACCATGAGCCACCAGCAACGGTGAGGGACATTGTCACGAATGCTGTGGTCTTGAGCATGTACGGAATCGGGGAACGGCGGGAGGCTACGTGCATATCTTGAGACTCGACCATCTGTGCAGTCGTTCGGAGGAGGAAGACATGACGTCGCCAGAATGCGTCCCAGGAGAGTTTCCTCTTCTGCAACCGAAGAATAAGGAGTTGGACTGGCCAGAGAAGGGACCACGAACCGTGTGTAAGGTAACTGCGAGTCAGTCATGCAGACGTCAGCCATTGAACACATGTGTGGAAACAATAAAAATTGGAGTTTTGAACAGCGAAACCTACAGCATGCAGTAGGGCTTATCCCAGCCCAGTTCACCCGCGATATATACAGCAGTCTCGGTCTGTATCACGAAACTCGCCAAGCTCAATAGGAGAAAACCGGATGCAATGATGTATTTTCGCCGAGTATCCTGCTCTGCGTTATGTTCCGTACCACTACTCCTGACCGTCGGCCTTCGTGTATGGTGATGCAGCATAGGCCTGCCTTCCGAAGCAGCACCATTACCGAAGCTGGCATTGGATAATCGCCGGTGCTCATCTTTTAGTAGCGGTTGTTGCGACCGGCCGTCCGTAACGGACCGGTGCATGGGGGGTCGATTCGTGGTCATTTCCTCATCGGAATCGGGGGCGTCGAGAACCGGCTCGGTGTCCCTGACCTCCTCCTGCCCCAACAGGTGCGAACTATCTGAAGCCACCATGTCTCAATCTTCCGCAATACACAGAAAATAGGAAAAGAGTAAAAACCTTCACTCAACCACTGGATCCTGTGCGCAGGAGATCCAACCGGAAAAGACAAAGGCAAGGGGCTGTTCAATCAAATCGGAGGTTGGCGTTGCTTTATGTCGACGGATAGAGTAACGAGGGGAATGCCGAGGCGGACGCAATATCCTCCATAGAACTTATACAAAAACGAGAGAATTGGACAGTAATCAAAGCATAAGGATCGGAATCAGTATCTACCACTTTCTTGAGAAAGAGTAGATTAGGAGATTTTGGTCGGGGACCTGCAGCTCATAAATAACAAAACCGCCAGGGGATTGTTGCTTGCTGCGGCCACGTTTGCGCCAAGTCTTCGGGTTGGGTTTCTATATGGTAATTCGAATGACGGAAGAGGAGGGAGAAAAGTGAAAAAAAGAAAGGTTCTTAGTTGTGGTACTAATGGCGCAGGAGGCGGAATGACACCATGTAAGGGGAGGCGGAGGGGGACTTCGAGTTTAAGGAAATTCAAAAGGACAGGACAAGTTGAAGGTCAACTCAAATGTAGTCGGAGTACGGAGTAGTACGTGAGCCTTTGGCCGTCCGCAGCGAATGATTTGAGGATTCCAGAAACGGGGTTGCCCGCTAAGCCCCTTGGGGTCGTGGCGGGACAGTCACACGTGATTTCCGTGTGGGACGCCTGATCACTTTCTATATTTGGTCAGGAGTCTTGGCGGGTTTGACTAATCTGCGTCAATGGCCCGAATCGGTGAACTGCCACAGCATAAAACAATCAAGCATGCATACAATTTATTCATTCTAGTCTCCAAGGCCAAGCATCCATTACGTTTCCTATTAGTCAAGTCTTCGTCTTAACCAATTAATGCGCAAATCGGAAATCTAATCGCTTATTCCCCGTATCCTTCGTGGTTGCGATGTAGTCAATTCTCTGTTCCTCCGTCATCCTCATCCACTTCCGATCTCGGTGACGGTTACGCAGTATATAGTAGGTCTTGGTCGCGGCGTACACAGCGATGTTGGTACAGGCCAGAGCGAGAAGCACTCGGTTACCCTGCACATAGCGAGGAGCATCCCCTGGAATGGTTGCCTAATTAGCCAAGGAATTCGAACGCCATATCCCTGGTGAATGGCTTCGGACTCGTCACACTCACAATCTTGGTAGACATTCGACGCGATTATCCCGGATAGCTGCACGCACATATTATACATAGCCGCTGATAATGCCCGGGACCGCACGCTATTGGAGTTGCGAGAGTTCCATCCCGCTTGGAGTGCATGGGCTAAGAACACATAGCTGTTAGTCTTGATCTGATAGAAACGGTATTGGGTGAAGCTATCGAACATACGACTAGGGAGTGAAAGAATCAAGGTGAGGACCGTCCATGCAACCCATCTCTTGGTCTGACTGAAATCGACTACATTCATATAGATAAGCATTGGGAGGGTCCAGGCTTGGGCCACAGCTCCCATCCATGCAAGGGACCCGAAGATCTCAGCGGCGTAGGTAAGAATGATTCTAGTTACAATCCCTATGACCTGCCCATTGGTCAGCAAATTACCAGGTAGCTCTATAGTGGCATAGGGTTTGGCCCACTTACACTGCATGGAATGGCGAGTAGGATGACATTAAACTCCCCGAACCCAAAATCAGTCATCAATAGCGTAAAGTATTGGGAAATCGTTGCTGTTCAGACAATCTAAGTTAGTTGGGTTCCACACTGTATGACAAGGGCACAAGTGCTATAGAGAGCGATATACTAACTGTATGGCACCAAGAATATAAGACCAATCATGTAGAGTGGCCACAGATCGTAATCTTTGAAACTCTGCCACACAAGTTTGGCTGTTAAGGGTTCGTTGTTTCCCATAGAGCCCTTGCTTGGGTCCTCGCGAACAATCCGATTGACCAGAATTACTTCTTCCCTATCAGCCACATACAGTTAGTCTTGTCCTTGCACAGGCGCGAGGTCCAAACACAGGGCAAATTACCGCTCCGTGAACCAGCCCTTCTTGCCCCGTGCCCAGCTCGCCGTCTGAGTCACAGACGGTGGTAGGAAAAGAAAAGACAGAATGGCGAGTAACAAAGTGAAGGAGCCCTACAGATCAGTCAATTTTCATGCAGCATTTCCCAAAAGGAGAATGGACTAACCTCGATTAAGAAAAGCCAGCGCCAACCAGCTTGGCCAGCATAGCCGCGTAGGTGCAGTATGCCATACGCTAGAAGCCCTGCTAGAACGTCTGCGACTGCCTGCGCAGAGTACCAGAACCCTAGACGGATAGAAAGCTCGTGATGCTTATAGAAGTAAGAGAGATATAGGATCATCTGCATCTGTAAGTGAGAATCTAAAAAATATACCAGCAGCCAGAGTCACCTACAGTGGGCGTAAACCCTCCTGAGAATATCCCAATCAAGGCCCGACAAACAAGGAACGAGGTCCTATCGCGCAGCCAGAACTGACAGAGAGCCACCAACGACCACGAGGTCATTTGTATGGGGATCCACCGATCGACGCCAATATATTTGCCGATAAGCTGGGCAGGAATCTCGCTTGAGAGATAGAATAGCTTGAACATGGTATTTCCGAGGTTATAGTCTGAAGCAGTTAAATCGATCAGTCAGTTTGAGTAAACCGCATCTGGGGGCTGGAGTATGCTAACCATTCCTAGACAATCCAAGATCAGATAGGAAGTTATCGGCGTTGGCTTGCTCTGGGTGGATACAGTTCTTTAGGGGATGCCAATCCTATATGTAACGGGTCAGGCACATACGGATATTTGAGCGATCAAGCTCCAATGCTGTCATCATCATGCATGCCAGTAGCATGATTCGCATGTCGAGCCTTCTGACAGCTTTCTGCAAGAGGGTCAGGCTACACCTATCCTTTTCCATATGGAACTGGAATTCAACTTACATTCTCTTCACCCCAGGTCCATCTTGCTGATGGGTCAAAGCGGTGAACGTTCTCCCATTCTGGTCGGGGTCTATATTCAGAGAGAAGTTCAGGATCATCGAACACTGATGGCTGGGTTGCGATGGCATTTGGGTCATAGCTTTTCGACCGCTGAAACCAAAAGCGGCGGTCGTCAGAGGTATCGCCAAGCGTTGAATGATCAGAGGCTGTGGTAGGCTTAATAGTCAAGGTGACAGGGTCCTTTTCAACGTCTGAAGTTGTTGAGGAGCCAGACCGCGCTGAGGCGATGGCATCCTTCTGCAGTGAGCGAGCAATAACAACCGGCATTTTAGTCCTATCAGCAATTGGCTTGACTTCCCGGCGGCGCTGTTGTCTTGTTCGATTTCGTACAGGGCCATGAAGTTCCTTTTATAGCCCTTCATCCTTCATTATGGGTGATAATAACTTTAACCAAGCTCAAGGGGCATCATTTGTGTGTAAATGCCACCAGCGCTTTCCGCCACCAGTCCCACAAGGCATCATGAGACTTCGAATTCGATAATTAGACGTTAGAAAGCGGTGCAGTTTCAACTAACCGGCCCTCCGGCAATTGTGGAAGCCTGGAATCTCTTGGGCAGGGTCCAGACGCTACTGGATACTACTGAGCATGTCTTCAGGGCTGAGGCATCACTAGCCTATGTTAAGGTGTCACTGCGGCATTTTTTGTAAAGCACGTTTTGCGGGTGGAGAGAAATGGACATCCCGAGGAGCACTTCGTGGTATCCAGGCTAGCCTGGGCTCACAATATTGAATCATATCTTCTGTTCAATTGGCCAAGCCCTTCACAATCATTAAAAGAGTGACCATGACCTCGGCAAGTGTCACGGCGTACGATGCCTTGCAGTTAATCCTGTCGTTAGCAACCTGCACAGTATGTTACATATGATCCTTACCAGCAGTTACTTATCTGGAAGAGCTGCAGATGGCCAATCGGTCGAATTGTCTGGTTCGACATTTGTAGATTGTCACATTCCCCACGTTACTTCAACCATCTTCCTTGCATCAATTCGAATCGAGAGGTTGTTCACTACCTCCCGCAAGGGGGGGACAAGAATGTGCTTTCGAGGCCATGCAGTATGTGAGGACAACCAGGCAGGCAAAATTAGACCAAGTCACTGGCAAAAACTTGAGCCTCTGCGAAATTGCTTGGAATTCTAGAGGAGAGTGAGGTAGTAGCCGAGCATTTTGCGCAAGGACCATGCACGCAGTTCAGGTGGAAGAGATAATTTCTTCTTGGTGGCAGGAAAAGAAGTCACATTTCACAGATCTGGAACTTGGGAGAATGTAAGGGGATTGAGCTAATGGCATACTATTGACGCTGTTATTTTTTCCTCCATATTCATTTGGATTGAGGTATAGAACTTCTAATGTCCGCAATATGCCCGCCACTCTTGCAGGCGGAGATATGTACTCACCTCGTGACCTCGGGGATCGTTAGAGTTCCCAGTCGAGAAATCTCAGTATGCAAGTATCCTTTCACATGTTGCAGGGGCTAAGTCCAGCCCTTTACCCCATACTACGACCTAGAATCATACTGTGGAGCTAAAGACCTGGCGTGAAAGTTGGTGTGGAGGCTGGAAAGACTTTGCGACGGTATTTATTGGACCGATTTCAGTTCCTTTGCATTCTAGAACTAGTATTCTACACTGCACGCCAAAAATAAACGATTAAGGCGCGCCACTGTAACACCAATCAAGCGCGTGTGTGAGAGAGAAAGAGAGAGATATGAGCAAGGTACACTATGCTGTGGACTTTGGGCCAAACAGGGCCTGCTGGGTGTTATAGGTGTATTTCAGATCGAGGTGCCAATAGTCCGGAGCAGTTGGCTTAGCGATTAACCACGCCTTATCCAGCGCTTCGACAACCTCCTCAGGTAGAGGGCCTTTTTGGACGTCTTTGAGGTTACTTTCCAGCTGCACGAAGCTGCTCACACCGACGATAATTCCGTCGCGACCATTGTCTTTCATGTTCAGAGCCGAGTGATGGTGAATCCAGCGAATCGCAGTCTCTGGGAGTGTCAGGCCATGCTTCTCGACAACGGGCTCGATGACTCGCAGTGCATCAAATGTTGCATCCCTAAAATAGCGTTTGCGGTACGGTACGCCAGTGGTGGATTTGTCGCTGTATCTTCCCTCGTCAGGGATATCTTTTGTCTTATACTTACCAGATAGGATACCACCAGCAAGGGGGTTATAGACTACGATATCAATGCCATAACGTTTGCAGGCGGGGACTAGCTCGGTCTCAATCGAACGTGCTACGGTAACACCGGTCAATACCATTCAACGAGAGGAGAAACCGGCTGTAAAGTCCATTGGTATGAGGTCAACTCACTGATGGCGTTATACATAGCTTGATATATTGTCGGTCGCACCCAGCCTCTCTCAGCACAGAGGGTAACAATTTCTGCGACCTCAAATGCCGTGTAATTACTCAGACCCAGTTGAACAAATTTTCCCTCTTTATGTAGCTTGTTGACTTCCTCGAGAGTCTCAGCAAAAGGAACTGACCGATCAGGAGCATGAAGATAGAAAATGTCGACCTGGTTTGTTCCCAGCTCTTTCAGAGAAAGCTCGAGCTTCTCACG